TACTGGTTCATTTAAGCGTGTCTTTTCTTCCTCTGTCAGCTGTTCCCCTCCATTCCTTTCCAGATACCTTCCTATCTCGTTTGTATCCTCATCCTCCCTCTTTTTGTACAGGGTTTCATAAAACTGGAGGAACTTTCTCTTTATCTCGTTGGGGTCTTCTATTATTTGTTCTTCTGATTTAATTTTATTAATCACACTTTGTTTTTTCCTTTTTCTCAGTTGCCATGCTAGCAATTTACCCGTTTTATTTGCCGACTCAAAGTATTTTTGTTTCATCCTTTTTATTCCCCATTCTATTTCTTGATTTAGCAGTGTTGAGTATTGGGTTTGTAGTAATTTGCAGATTTGTTTAGTCCTCTCATCCCCAGGGTTTATTGTTAATTTCTCCTCTGCTTCCTTTAATTGTTTAATTATTTCTTCCTTCTTTGCCTCTCTTAAATTCTTTCTGTATTTATTCTGTTGGATCAAAAAACCTCTAAGTACGGCCTTACTAGCGTCCCAGACCACATCAATTTTAGTTTCTTTGTTTAAGTTTAAGTCAAAGTACTCTTTCAAAATGTTTTTTGCCTTACCAATAGTCTCGTCTTGTTCCATTAGTTGATCGTTCATTCTCCATCTGTATGGTCCTAGTGATTTACACTTTATTTCCAGGAAGATTGGGTTGTGGTCCGAGAGTGTTCTAGGCTCTATTTCACATTTCGCCGATCTTATCGAAAGCTCTCTAGAGACCCAGATCTGGTCTATTCTACCCCAACTTTGGTGTACTCCTGAGAAATGTGTAAACTTCTTATCTGTTGGATTTTTAAACCTCCAAATGTCAATCAGGTCTAAGTTTTCTTGGAGATCATCGAAAGTTTTTGGGAGTTTCCCTTGCCTCCCTTTCCTTCTTTTTTCGCTTCTATCTATCTCAGGTTCAGGGACTCCGTTCAGGTCGCCTAGTAAGATTAGTTTATAGTTCTCTAATTCTAATAATATTTGCTCCAATTTTTTAAAGAATTCAGCTTTGTTTGCATTGGGGGCATAGACTGAAACTACATTGAGTCTTTCCCCTTGATGGGTAATTTGGATCCCTAAGATCCTTCCCTCCTCGTCTTTACAATCATTTTAGGTTCCAATTTCTCTCTAACATAGATCACCAACCCTCTCTTTTTCTTCATGTCTGAATTAATAAACTCCATTCCCAACTTTTTATTAACCAATATATGTCTGTGTTTTTTTGCTACATGAGTCTCTTGACAGCAAACCACGTCACATTTTTTATTTCTCAAAGCTTTCTCTATTTTATTCCTTTTTAATTTGTCATTTAGACCATTAACATTCCAGGTTAGAAAAGTTAAAGACATTATTAAAATTGTGTGTCGAGTTTCTATCTAACTTTCAATTCCTTGTTTCTTCCTCTTCCTCTGTCTCCTCCTCCTCTACCACACCTCCCTCCCCCTCCGCCCTCCCCCCCTCCCCTTCGCCTTTCCCCCTCCCTCCCCCCCCATCCCCAGCATCCTTTCTGTCTGTCACTCTATCCTCCCTTTTGCCAAGCTCCCTCTCATATCTCCTCAGGAACTTTTCTACCTCCAACGGGTTGGTCAGTTTAAATTTCTTGTCTTTAAAGAAAAAGGCAATCCCTTCGGGGAATTCCCATCTAAATTGTATGTTGTTCCTTCTCAGAACACCTGTTATTTGCCTGTAACCCTCCCTCTTGCGTAACAGTCTAACCGGAATCTCTTTGAACACGATTATTGGTCTGCCACCTATTATTAGTTTTTTATGATAGCTCGTTTTAAGTATCAGATTCCTCATTCCAATTGAGTTAAACATTACTAAGCAATCCCCAAGGGGTTTCTTAGTCCTATTCTGGTATGTTCTCATTTTAATTCTAAAGGCATTTTCTATCGTATATGCAACCTCCTCCTCTTTCATATCTAACCAATTTGCTATTTCCTTAGTTATTTTCTCCTTGACGTTCTCCTTCGTCTCTTCTTCTATGCCTCTGAATTTTAAATACATTTGTCTCTGACGCATTTCCGTCATCGCAATGTTGTCCCAGATCTGCTCCTGTGCCTTGTTCAACTCTCGCACCTCCTCCCTCACTTTTTCTGTCTCTCTTTTCTGTTCTCTCATATCTTTTTGGATTCTTTTGTTAGTTTCCTCAAATGTCTTTGTTTTGACTGTTAGCTCCTGAACTTTATTCGCGAGCTCCCCTATTGCTCCTTCTATTCTCCTGTCTATCATCTCCTGCATTTCCTCTAGTTTGTTTTCTATATGACTTTCATTCTGTTTAAGTTCCTCCTTAATTTTTAGCCATAAGAAATCTAAATCTTTGATTTCCTCCTGTCTGGATACTTTTCTTTCACCCGGCGTCCCCCCTCCCCTTTTCCCATTTTTCCCTTGCATTTTACCCTGGTATGTCCGTTATATTCTTTTGTTACTGGTTCTCTCCCCTTAAGGGCTCACAATCTCCTGTTCCCGCTCCGTGAGTCCTTCCCAGGTAGTCCAACTGCTTATACCACGTGCGTGGTCCAAGACTACCACTCAGCAACAATCCACCCCCTATCTCTTCTATGCAGGGTGTTGTAATTATCACCCTTTGCGGTTGGACTACAACTGACTGTAGCCTTTAATTTAATAATGCTGAGTGGGAACCAGGGTAGGGGTAGAGTTCCAAACAGTTCCAGATGGCGAGGGCAGCTCTAATCCTCAAAGTTAGAACGTTATTCTAGCTAGTATTCCAATTATATTGGGAGTCCTTGTCTCTTCCAGTCTCCTTCAGTCCAATAGCCCAACAGTCCAGCAGGGGATTCCCTGTCTTACTTTCCCAGTTTTATTCCTGTTCTTTCTCCACACTTAGAGTCTTAATAACTTATCCTATAGCAGAGTGGCAAAATATCTCCTTGATTGCAAAAATCCACTTATCAAATTATCCCGGGAGTAGGTACGTTTTCTGTTAATAATGAGGGGGAAAAGAGGGGGGGAGAGGGAGCAGCGAAAGGCAAGACTGTATAGGATTAACCAGGTAGGTAGGGGGGGACAGGGGGGAAGGTATAACAGAAGGGAGGGTATAACTATAGTTTTAGTAAAACAAAGTCCGGTAAGGGGTATATTGGGAGGGGGAGGACGGGAGGGGGGGGAGAAGGGTGAGTAGTGGTCAATAAGCTATTAAAACCACCAAAGGAAAAAAATAAAGTAAACGAGTAGGCAAACCTGCTGCAGATAATTATCTGCCTTTTAGCGTCGTTTACACAGCGCTCTTGTCTAATTTCACCCTATAAGAGTCTCACAGGAGTCCTGTATGTCCTTAATAGTAGATCGTTATAAGCTCTCAATGATATATATCCACAGAAAGCGTCCATAAAGTCTTCTTGTCTCTATTCCCTTTTTATTCCTCTTGTCCTCTCAGGGTCGTCTCCAGTAGTGTTTGCTGCTGTGTGAACTTAGCTTAATAGGCTACGGTTTAAAGCCACGAAAGCTTTAGCGATAGTCCCAAATAGTCCGAGCTAGGTCCAAACAGAGGTGCCCACTAAACTCCAACAAGTAAATATCCACCTCAGGCAGCAGTCTTAAACCATTCAGTCTTAAACCATTCAGGTTCATTTAATTTGATCAAAAACAATTCCTCCTCGTTGCGTGCACACACAGCTCGGCCGTTACTGATTATTCTCTTTCTTAACTACCCGCGTTTCCGGAGCCTGCGCCATTTTCGCTCTCCATCGGGTGGGGCCCATACATGAATTCTGTTACAACCCGGACTCACCCATCTGCAGTCCTTATCTTTGGTGTTGTCCCAGGTCTGTTCACGATGGGGTTTCCTTTTTAATTCTATGGAGGTTCGTCGCCTTTCTCGGTGGGAGCTTGAGGCATCGACGTTCGGAGACGGTGCTCTCCCTCGTTGCGCTTGCGTTACCGCCTTGAGCCTCCTCTCCGCGAGAGAGGGGAGACCACAACAGCAAGGTGCCGCATTCACGCTGCCGGGAAGCCTTCCCCCAGGGGTTCCCCCCCTAGGCTTTTTCTTTTTGGGGGGTGCAGTGCCCTTGCGGCTCCCCCTAATCTCCGAATTCTACAGAAAGCTTTCTGAGTAGCTTTCCGCGCTCCCTCCCCGTCCGCGACTGGAACCGGAAGTTGTAATATCACTGTAGGGCTATTGTAAGCCGCAGCTTCCCCCTCCCTCCACACGATATAGACATGTTATTTATTTATTTATTTATTTATTATTAATTTTGTTCCACAAAATTTAAATGCCGCTTGATTGTAGAAACTTCAAAGCCGTTCACAAAAAAGATAAAACAATAAAATCATCACTTAAAAAAAAAATGCAACCATAATTTTTTAAAATATACAGGAATTTAAAACCGCAACCGAACAAACTAAAACAAACGCGTACAAACTCTCTAAACATCCGGGTGGGCTTGTCGAAATAGTCATGTATGCAGCAGGCGCCAAAAAGAATACAGGGAAGGCGCCTGCCTGATATCAAGAGGCAGGGAGTTCCAAAGTCTCCGTCCTAATTTTTAGAAATGCCTTTTGAGATAGCGCCCTATGCTCCGGCCGTTATACGCCTTTTGAAGGCTGAGGAAACCCTGCCTCATTAAGGAAGACACAAAGGGAAAGCTGACCCAATGGCCAGTGCTGCTTTCTCCCACTTATTATATCTCATTTTGCAGAAATAGAAGTTTTAGACAGCGTGCAACTCTACCCTTTTTCCCGCTTCCTATCTCTAGGGTTGAAATGCCGGCCACCCTTAGCACGCGCGGCGCGGCTACCCTTCCCACACAGCACCACCTTAGGCCACGCCCCCGCGTGCGTGCGTGCGTGCGTGCGTCGTCTGTGCGCGCTTCTTTGCATTCCCCGCCTCCGCGCTGCGCCGGGCTCAAGCTCCACCATCCCTCCGTCAGTCGAACCCCGGCCAATCGGGTACGCCTCTCTGACGCGCAGGCCGGCACCTGCGTCCCGCCCCCCGCGGGTTCCATCCTCCCCAACAACACCTCAGGCCACGCCCCCGCGTGCGGTGTTTTGTCGGTTTCCTATGCTCCGCCCCCGCGCCCGAAGAACGCGCTGTGCCGGGCTCAAGCTCCGCCCCCCGTCTGGGGAACCCAGCCAATCGGGTCCGCCTCTCTGACGCGCGCAGGCCGGCACCTGCGTCCTGCCCCGCCTCTTTCCCAGGAGCTGTCAGAGAGCCGTTGTCGGTTGAGGGAGGAAGGTGCGCGAGGTGGAGCAGGTAAGCGACCCCTCCCCTCAACGCGCGCGCGCGCTCTCTCCCCGTTTTTTGTCACTGGCCTCCCTAACGGTCACTCACTTGGCTCCCTATTCCCTCACCGCGCGGGCCTTCCGGGGCTCAGCCGCCGCCTCCTTCTCCTCAGGCCGAGGTGCTCGAGCTCCCTTCCCCCGAGCAGGGAGCGAAAGGGAAGGTGGAGGAGGTGGGCAGACAGCAGGTAGGCAGCCTGAATAACCGCTGGTCAGCAGGCAGTGCAGATTTTAAAGGCTTCCCAATGATAACGCCGCGTTGTTCTTGTAAAACTTAACTGGTTTTTAAAATATTATTCCTCAAATTAAGTATTATTTTGTTCTGCCTCTCAGGATTTAAAAGCGTGCCTATGAATTCTTTAATTCTCATTATAAAAAATTGCCGTATACAAAAGCCTTTGGTTTCAAAATATTTTTTGTTGTTGTTGTTTAGTCGTTTAGTGGTGTCCGACTCTTCGTGACCCCATGGACCAGAGCACGCCAGGCACTCCTGCCTTCCACTGCCTCCCGCAGTTTGGTCAAACTCATGCTGGTAGCTTCGAGAACACTGTCCAACCATCTCGTCCTCTGCCGTCCCCTTCTCCTTGTGCCCTCCATCTTTCCCAACATCAGGGTCTTTTCCAGGGAGTCTTCTCTTCTCATGAGGTGGCCAAAGTATTGGAGCCTCAGCTTCAGGATCTGTCCTTCTAGTGAGCTCTCAGGGCTGATTTCCTTAAGAATGGATACGTTTGATCTTCTTGCAGTCCATGGGACTCTCAAGAGTCTCCTCCAGCACCATAATTCAAAAGCATCAATTCTTCAAAGCTGAATGGTTTGTTTATTACTTCAGGGGATCGCCAGAGTTGGGGGTCATCTAGTGCCCCCCCACGGTGCGGGCTTGAACCCAGGGCCCTGAGATTAAGAGTCTCATGCTCTACCCAGCTGAGCCTACTTACTATAAGATATTTCTTCTGAGCTGCCTTTCAGGATGTAAAAGCGCCCCTAAGGAGTTTTGCCACTGTGAAATTGAACATAAACCCATGTACAAACCATTAAGTTTTAAAATGGAGAGCTAGAAACACCCACCCACCCCTTGAACGGAATGGAGCAAGTTAATCTGCCAGAGTTCCATCAGGGGAAAAGGTGGGGTGTAAATAAATGTATAAAAATAATCCAAAGCTCAGCAGTTAATTAAAAAACAAAAACAACCCAGATGAAAATTGAAATTGTTTCTTGTATTTTTTTTAATCATTTAATGCAAGTGTGGGTGCCTGAGCAGTATACAGTTGGCATAAATAAAAGTTTAGCATCACATTAAAATATATCTTATTTATCTATCTTTCAGTGATGGGGAACCTGTTGGACTCCAACTTCCATCATTCCTGATCATTGGCTACAGTACACTATTTGGGGCTTATGGGAGCTGAAGTCCAACAACATCTGGAGGGCCATGGGTTTCCCACCCCTGGTTTATAGAGTTTTTCCTAAGTGTTTCAGGTCACTTTGCATATATTGTCTTGGCAATTCCTACCGAAAAATTGTGAGGTAGAATGGTGTTGTTGTTAAACTCTACTGCAGATAGTAGCTTGAAGCTGAGGAGAGCAGCACCAGCCTAATTCTGTGGCATGTCCTACTTTCTTCATCAGACTTCTGCCTCAGTGAATGTGTACAGGTTTATCACCCAAAGAACATATCTTGTTCAGATATGTGTCAAAATGGATCATTAATAAGACTTGATCTATTTAACAAGTACCTTTTCACTAGGGAAATGTGTCATGGTGAACAGTTATTGCATGTCCTAATAACTGATCTCAAAACAGTGTGCAGGTTTGTTTATTTATTTACAATAACTTCTAAAAGGTTTTTAAAAACCTTTAGCAAATGTTAATACTCAAAAATTGCAAGGTTGCTGCCTTAGAGAGCTTATCATTGTGGGGGGAATGGACCGCTCATTTTTGCAACTTCTATGTATCAGATCTTTCTGTACTGTACTTCAAACAGATAAATCCCCACTATATAAATGAATTTTTAAAAATGCTTTCCACATTGTCTCTCTGACATTTGATGGCTTGCTTAGAAAGTTACCTATCCTAACATCCCATTCCCATGCTTCAATTATTCAACCACTGGCTTCTTTAAAACTTCTTAAACTCATGTTAACTTCTTCACCGTGTTGTAATAAGTTAAGAGTACAGATACTGTATTTACTTGAGTCCAATACACCATCTAATCTAATGCACACCTCAGTTTTCAGAACCTTGAAACCAAAATAGTATTTGCTGGTGAATGTAAATGTGCTATCGAATCTAATGCGCACCTTAATTTTTGCAACCAAAAAAGGTGAGCATTAGATTTGAGTAAATGCTGTACGGTGATTCAATATGTATCATTTTCTCAGTTCATCTCCTAGTGTAAAACTGAGGTGACAACGATGGTGTGTGATGCCAAATGAGACGGAGTGGGAGCTTTTAAAAAAAGCAACTCAAAGTAAACTTCACTAGAAATTGAAACTAGAGGTGGCCTTCCTAGAGCAGCCTCAGGCCTTATTTGTGCAGATAGACTCTGGTGAAGAAGAGAAAAGGGGTGTGTGGGCAGGGAGAGAGAGATAGCCCCACTCAAAGACAACCCCAAGGCAATCCATGTTTTGACTGGAAAATAATTCCCCATATGTAATTTAATATGTATGGTGTGAATCTGCCCCAAGAATGCATGCAGATGTTGTGACTGGCAGTGGAAGTTGTCTTTTAGTGGTTTTTGATACAGCTCTGTGCATGCAGGATGCCCTATTTTATTTAATCCACGGTTGTTAGCACCTCCAAATATAAATGCCAGAAAAAGTGTTGCCTCAAAATGTAATGTGTTGCTTCCTGCACTTAAAGGCAACAAACAGGAACGTTTAACACCTAGGCTGGAAACAATCTTTCAAATTCCTAGGAGTCGGCATACATTCATTGTTAACAAGCTGGTTGACTATGCCTATTTCCAGCCTTGTGCACTAAACTCTATGAAACCTCAAATCTCCCTTTAAGTTAGTTCATCTAGCCTTACAGTGCTTGTCTACTTCTCACTGGCAAAGGCTCTCCAAGGTTTTGCAGAGAGTTCTTCCACAAGCTTGATTCCTGAAATTAGAGCTGAGCAACAATGGCCTTCTAAAATCTCTACCCTATTCATGGGTGGTGAAATGGGGGTGAGGGGATGGGGGAATAATTTTGCTGAATATTCAAGGGCAGAAGAGAACTTCTCCAACAGTTAGTAGTGACATGACTTTTTTTCCTTTTTACCTAAGGTTCTTTTTGGTACTGCTGCCAGTAGCAACTGTGTAGGCAGCCAGGCAACCATTTTGCATTCTCCACTGATCCCAAGATCAAGTGTCATCGTAGGGCATTCTGGAAGGAAAATGGTGGAGAATATTTGGCAAAATGGCCCTCTGTTCTTTTTCTTCAGCCCCCCCCCCAAGGCAAAAAAATAAAAGATTCTCACATTTTCTGAGAAGAAATTGCAGCTCAGTTCTACTGGAAATACTTCTCTTGCAAAAGGTTGTTAGCCTTGATCTCCGGCATCACCAATTATAAATAGGTGCTGCACCACTGAGCTCCTCCCCACAATTTTCTGAAATCAGAGGTGACTTGGAAGCTTGAATTGTGTTAGCCCTTTAAGCAGATTCTATAGGTTAGCATCTCATTCCCTCCATTTCTCATTCTGTCAGCAACAGGAGAATGGTGTTATCTACAGTAGACCAAAAATACAGTGATAAGCCTGCACAGATTGGCATCAAATTATCCCACAGATTCCACTACAAATTATTCAGGGTACGGCTGGGAAAAGGTGACATCATCTGCTAATAATAATGTCTGCTTGCTCTATCAGTAGAGAAAGGGGAGAAGTTACCTACTTGCAACTTGTGGTAACTTCTTTCTGAATTATGAGTTGTAAATATCGGTCTCAGAAACAAGAATAGTTTCACCAACAAGAGAGAAAAAACCCTAGTTCCACAGTGAGACAACCTAACTCCACAGTATAGCTGAGTGCTCTTATTCATGCAAAGAGAACATAATGGTCTCCAGCATATTGCTTCTTGGGAATGGGTGGGGGGGTCTTTCCCAACATTTATTTCATTTTGGTTTGTGTAGTTGCAGACTGCTGTGTGAAAATACAAAGAGGAACCAAAAACCCCAAAGCATTGACATTAAAAACCACATCTGCCAAAGAGTATGCTGCTAGTTCTGCAGATTTCAGTCACCTTATTTTATCACTTGCTAGCCTAGAATTATATTTTTAAACACCAAGCAGTTCCCCTGTTGGGTGCACCTTACTCAACAATGTTTCCCAACTTGTTAGAGGGGTTTTATTTGAGGAAGGCTAGCTTTTAAGGAGCGTAAGGCTGCAGAGAATGTGTTTTACAAGGTTTATTTAGTGAGATATGGGAATATCTTTAGGCAGGAAAATAGCCTATTGTGCTGTGGCTTGGGGTCCAATCCTGTATACACTTATCTGAAGTAAATCCCACTGAGTATGGGGGGGACTTATTTCTGAGTAAACATGCATAGGTTTGCCCTGTGCATCTTTCCTATGCAGGTTTCTTGAGCTAGTTTAAAATATCTTTCGGAGTATATGATAAAGGTTTTTTACTTGAATAATGAAAAATTATTGAAGACAGGTGTATTTTTCATTCAAACTTATACCAGTTTTATAACATGTTCTAACAATTGTTTCTACCCCTCCTCCCAAAAATCCAGGAAATTATAGTTTAAGGTGCTCACAGTTATGTTAGAGATTCTTATCTCCCTCCACTACATTTCCAGTGTTTCCTGCAGAAATGGAAATTTGATTAAGCCCCTTCAGTTTTGTAGTGTTCATAGGTGGCTCAGTGAATCACATGGTACAAAGTGTGTTCAAAGACCGCAGTTTTGAAAGCAGCTCACCATGTCACACAAGAGGCTGCTATTGGATAAACACAAATCCCAGTCGCTGTAGGTAAAAATTCAGCCAGGCTAATCTTTTTGTTATGTTTCTGTACTTGCAAGAATTCACTGCATTGCATTGGAATGTATTTGTCCAAGCATGAACGTTTTTCTTGCCTAATCGTTTATCTTTTGTAAGCCTTACACACAGCATTATCAGAAAGGTCTTTATTTATAACCCTTTTTTTTTTTTTGCAGCCTGAAATCTGGATTGAGAAGCAAGTTAAGACTGAAAAATAAGCACTGCATTGATGACTTAGGGAGACCTTGAAGGACACACTGTTTTGCTAAGCTACATTTTTGCAAGCCATTCAAGGCACAATGAAGTACCCATTATGTTTTTGAAACATTAACGGTTTTGTCTTTTGCTATCAGCCATGTTTTTTGGTTGATGTTCATGAATTTTATTGTTGTGATAACAGAAAAATGCAAGACCAGAATTTAGTGGAAATACATAGTGGTGCGGAAGTTTCAAGCCAGTCAATTTTGAAACCTCTGTCAACAGAGACGGGTGCCACCTCTCTCAGTAAAAACAGCAGTGGAACTGATGTACATTCTCTAAACCAAAATGGAAATTTTGATGAAAGCTCAGAACTGGAAATGATTCAGAAAAGCCTTCCTGTCGAGTGTGGTGACAAAAGGGTTTATGAAGCATCGCTGGAGAGTCCTGACACCAGCTTGGGGGAATCCAGCAGTACTTGGGGTGACTTTGAAGGTTTCAGTGAGGTCAAGCAGGAAAATTTAAGCAACACCTTGGAGTCTTTGGAGAAGCCAAATGGAAAACAAACTTACACAAATGATGTGGATGTCAGTGACAGCTGCCTCACTACCTCATGCAGACAGTTCTCTTCCAAAACAACTGGACACAACAGAAAAGAAACATTTGCTAACACTTCAGTGAAGGTATGTTTTAATGAGTTAAGAATGATCCACCTCCTCTTCAGAGTCCTGTTCTCTCCTGTCTAAGAATGCTATACATTTTGTTAGTTTCCATGGTGTCACCTTTAACTATTTGGCAACACGGAACTAAAACATATTGCTTCATTAAATGCAGTAAGGAACTGATGGCAACATCAGTTCACTTCCTTTTTTTATTTAGCTATATGGTAAACATAGCACAACTGAATATGATAAAGGTAGAAATATATTTTAAACAGATGCATTCTTCAAATGGCTCCCTTTTCCTGTTTTGTTGCTACCATCTCCCAGTACAAGCATTATGCGTCTGTGCAACAATCAGTTTTGGTCTATAGAATTTTGCATTCTTGGTCTAACTGTGAATGAAACTTGTGAAATTGACTCTTGTTCAGTATTTTGTTGCAACTCAAAATGTTAAGAACTTTTAAATATTAAATAGATCTTCATATAATGGAAACCATTTTGATATTCAACAAAACTACCATTCCCTCCATTTTTGATGCTGAGGCTGTTACGTAGCTAAAAGAACACCATCACAATACAAGTGCAATATACCAGCAGGCTTGGGAAAGCCCAAAGGTTTGCAGAAGTGCCAATAAACGAAAACGTATGGGCAGGAAAGGCCTAAGTCAGGGGGAATCCCCCCAAATGGCCCAGTGAAAACTGAGCTTGCTCAGTGGCCATGAAAAGCTAACAGACTGGAGGTGGAATGGAGAATTCTAGAATAAGACATAGCTGGCATCCTGAACAGCAGCACTCTGTTTGTTGCAGCTCCCATTTGTGATTACCTAATCCTTAGTCACACAGGTACCCTTTTAAGAAGAATAAGGCACTGTGTGAATTCCAATGAGCTTACTTACATGAGTAAGAGTCATGCAAGTGAGTAAGGAGCACATACCTTCAGCTGTCACACATTTTTCCCTTGTGACATTACAACTGCTGTTATATGTAGACTTCTGTTGAAAAGTCCTCGGTTTTAATATTTACTGTTCATTTGTAACCTCCCCCGCCAATTCTCTCCTTGCCTATGATTGCTGTTCGGTTTTGTTTCCTTGGTGGCAGCTGCTTCTGCTTCCTGGAGCACTTTTGCTTCTCCATTACCCATGTAGCCCTCTAACTTACTTGCCCATTGGCTGTTTAATCTTATTGATTGTGGTGGCCTCTGGGATTTTTGTTTGGGCAACCATTATATCATCCCATTGGATGTAGAGTCATCAGTGAATTAAATGGGAGTGTGTTAACACCCATTACCGATACATTTCAAATGAGATATTTATAGCTTCCCCTCCTCTAATTGTCATTCCAACACATTTTTTCCTCCTTTGTATTGTCTATTATTACAGAATAAAAATAATAAAATGGCAGTGATTAATTGAGTACATAGACATGTTGATTAAAAAAAATCACCATGGATGTCTGTACAAAAGATCTGGGACCTCCAAGATGGTGCAATGAGTTGAGGATGTTGTGCACAGAGGTGATAACTAGATAAGACTGAAACTTCTTAAGTTTTTCTATAGCATTGTAAGAATGACTGTAAGACCCAAATAGTTACACAGAGGTGGGAGCCTCCAGTCTTGCATGGGTTTGTTCAGTACATTAGAGCTGGGGTAGCCAGTGTGGTGCTTCCGACACTAGTAAACTTATGAAATGGAAACTTTTCCACAAAAAAGTTAAGCACTAAAACAAAAACAAAAAACTTTGGAAACCCCTCCCATATCACTGGAGCCTAACAACATCTGGAAGGCACTACATTGGCTACCCTCTAATAGAGTATCACAGTATTGTCCCTATCCTGGATAATAGATTGGGCCTGGGATTTTGTAGTGTTGAGTTGTCCAAGTGTATCTGAAATCCTCTTATGGCTTAGCTCTCTGGTAGGAAGTAAGGAGGAACATTTCAGAGGATGCAGGAAATTATGCTGTATGTCATTGTATAAAACAGCAAAGCATTGGCCTCAATCATTACCTTGCTTTCTCCAGGCTGTCCTCAGCTCTGAAGATATTATTAAACTGAGTTTTCCAGAAGTTCCTGTACCACAGTTCTTGGAGAAAATTAGCAGCTTGGATCAAGTACTTTATACAAAAACAGAAGACACAAACATTCCTGAATGTACAACGAAACAACTTTGGTAACTGTTTAATAATTGTTCTTGTATCTAGTGCAAATATTTGGGCTGTGCTGGTATCTGGAAGGCAGAAAGGCTTCCGAAGTTGCTGGAAAATGTGGTGATGGTACAATAATATACCATAAATTTAGAACTTTGGTAGCTTGGAATAGTGGGAGTTCATTTGATAAAACAGGATTCCTGTTGACTGCCTCATTGCTTCCTATTCCTACATGTCTTATTTTGGTTTTGGCAGCAACAGCTCCCTGCCCACTGTGTTGATTCTCCCTAATGCCTCAAGAGAGCAACTTCTGTGGGATTCTTTCAATTTTAATGTTAGAATAACTTACGTATGTACCATTTATTGAATCAATATAATTTCAGTATAATCATTTATTTGCAAAATACACAATAATGCATGCGAAGATAGGCTCCAGTGGATTGAGCGGATAAGACCAATAGTCTTGTCCCCTCCACCCCATTCACCACTTTCACCCTCCTTTCCTTGAAGTGTAGCAATCTTAAAGTCTCCTATACTTTGGCTAACCATACTGATCATGGGACTAAAATACATCATCCAAAAGCTGACAATCAGTAAGTGGAATAGAAATTCAATTTACTGAATTCATCTGCATGCATTTTAGCTACAAAGTAGAATGAGTAACGGTTCCTGTGCTACTGTTGCTGCTTAGATTCCTGTGGTTCTATAATCAGTGGCTCAGCTGGACAGCTGAATCAATTGCCTTCAGTCAAATCCTGAGAGTTGAGCATTGGGGATGGACTTGGAACTATATTGTGCCTTGACATTTGCTTTGGATTATTTTAAGATGTATGGAGTGTCTCATTTGGTATTTGTTTGGTGGGATTGCAGGTTGGATGTTATAGTTTCATCTTTTTAGCAGACTGTTTTTTAATTCATGCTTTGCACTGACTTGAACGTCAGAACTTCTAGAACTGCAGGATATAATTTAAAAAATAAATAAATCTGAGTTCAAATTCCAGCTCGGTAGTGTACTCTGCTTTAAAGGGTCACTAATACTCTTCGTTTTCCTGTCTGAAAGATGAGCCCTTTGGGGCTTTTGGGACAGTTAATGTTGAGTTTTGGCAAACACATGCATATACAGTACTGTACTTGATTCACGTCACTCTGAGGGAAGCAATGCTTGATAGCTGAATGTGTAAACTGACTCCATTGAAAGGATACGTTAAACTCATTTACACATGTAAGTCACCACTTGCCACTGTAGTCATAATTATTAATTTAAAACATGTATGTGAAGCCGCCAAAAGGCATATAATTATCAAAATGGCCTTGAACAGACTATTCAGCCAAATATGTGAAATCTGTTTTAGGTTAAATAACATCTGCCTTTATTGGAACAAAATGCTACCACTTTATAGATGGAGTACAGGGCAAAGAACTGCCTGTGTCTAAGGCTTGCTATGGTGATTGGAAGATTAGGAATATATTATTTATTTAAGATATTTATATACCACTTAACTACCCAAGTGTCTAAGCAGTATACATAAAAATTATATGCTACTATCTATCTATCTATCTATCTATCTATCTATCCACACACACACACACACACTATATATATATATATATATATATGCAGGTTTTGGTGTCCTCGGGTATCTTCCCGTGTAAAAGTTGGGGTGTCTAGGCGACGTTTCGACGAGGTCTCACTCGTCATCTTCAGGCTGGTGCTTTCGGCTTCTTGTTACTGGAACAGAGCAGGATCTCAGTAACAAGAAGCCGAAAGCACCAGCCTGAAGATGACGAGTGAGACCTCGTCGAAACGTCGCCTAGACACCCCAACTTTTACACGGGAAGATACCCGAGGACACCAAAACCTGCATTCCTGTACCCGTGAAAATCTACGAAAGCAAATATATATATATATATATATATATATATATATATATATATATATATATATATATATTAATTAGAGTACATATGTGCCATCTATTCCATCCTTCTGATAGGGTGACAAAGTTTTAGCTTCTCTTCAGCTGTACTTGAACTGGTTTTGAATTGTAAGCAGAAAACGTGGTTTGCTATGAGATATGTTTTGTTATCTTGGATTAATCTGAATTGCATTTCCTTTTAAAGCACTGACTCTGGGAATTTATGGAAAACTCTTACTCAGTCCACTAACCCTTCCAGTTTAAGACGTCCTTGGAACAAATCTCATTACCACGAAAACCTTCTAGCTGTGCTTGGAATAGATGCTCATCAAAAGGTACTCTTCTGAAATATTTTCTAAATACCATGGCATTTTGTTTTTAAGATTAACAGATATTATGGTCTTAAGGTTGCCAGAGAAAACAAAAATAGCATTTCCCAAACTTGGGAATCTACAAATTTTGGTTTTCCTTATTTGCCATGATTTGTTTTTGTAACTGATTCCCTCTCCTCCCTTCACATGTACCAGTGGAAGGAGAAGTTAAGGTATCTTGTCTCTCAGGGTCAGTCCACCCATGAAGCAGGGTGAGGCCATTGCTTCAGGGCAGCAAGGTCTGGAGAGCTGAGAGGGGCAGCAGATTCACCCCCTGCTACCCACTCAGATTTGGATCAGGGTGCCACTCACCTAGCTCCCTCCCTTCCTGAGTAAAACATTCATTAAACAAAGCACATCTATGCCTTTAAGACCAGCTCCTTGTTTGCAACAATCAGAGAACCACCAGCAACTCTCAGAATCCCTGATGAGCCTTTTGCAATGGCTTCTTGATATTGTAGTCTCCTTAGGTAAGAGCTAGTAGGAGAACTAGTGATAACCTATGGAGCTACTCACACAATGCAGGGCAGCTACCAGGACCCCATTTACTTGCCTGGGTGACTTAGGTGGTGTTGGCCATGGCTTGGAGAAACTGCTGCAGGCTGGAGTGATTTTCTAACATTACCTGGGGAGTGAGGCAGTGGGGAGGGGAAGCCACCTGGCAAGTTCCCCCTCTTCTCCCCTTCCTGGGAGCCCTATTGTCCGTTCCAAAAAGGACAGAGTGGAGGCAATGTGCAAAAATAGACGTGAATGAAAGAAGATGATCTGCAGAGAGGGGGAAGAGGGTGTGTACATACATACAGTGGTACCTCAGGTTAAGAACTTAATTCGTTCTGGAGGTCTGTTCTTAACCTGAAACTGTTCTTAACCTGAAGCACCACTTTAGCTAATGCGGCCTCCTGCTGCCGCTGCGCCGCCACTGCACGATTTCTGTTCTCATCCTGAAGCAAAGTTCTTAACCCGAGGTACTATTTCTGGGTTAGCGGAGTCTGTAACCTGAAGCATATGTAACCTGAGGTACCACTGTATATGTATATGGGGTCCTTAACAAATGATGATTCACAGGGAGATGCCATTTCCTAATTTGCCTCAGGTGCCACAATGTCTTGGGTGGCCCTGCTTTCTCTCTTTGGCAGAAGTAGCACAAATCTTTCATGCTGCTTCTGCTTTCTGCAGAGCCACTGCAAAGTGTAAGATGAGCCCCACACTCCCACCCCAAGTTCTTTGCATAATTTGAGGGAGGGAGGAGTGGACACCACTGGTAATCTGGCAAGTATATTTGTGAAGCCATGCTATTAACTGTTGGTTGCTATTGAGTTACTCTACTGAAAACATTTGACTAGCTATAGAGATGATAAAAAATATTACACAATGAATATTAAGTACTGTGTGGCATAACTGGCCACTTTAAATTGCACCTTGATATTTTAACTGATAATGTTAGAAAATACCTTGACTATGTACTGTATGTTCATGATGGAGTGGTTAGCAGAACTTGTATGCAAGGGTTCTAGTTGTGAGTCAGGTGTAGAGGTTTTTTGCTGATTTAAATGAGCACTGGTTCAGTCCATAAGAAAGATATTGCCATGCCATGTTGGAATATCCGCTTTTCAAAATTAGAGAAATATGTTGAAAAACAAAATTTTAAAAAGCATTATACCATCTTAAGTATGCTTGAATCTGTATAAGAAGAACTTGGGTCACTTTTAATTTACTTTATTTTTCCTTTTCTGAGATGCCAGCAGTACTTATTTGGGCCTGCTCTCAGTTAAGCTGACACAAGGCCTGCATTTTTGGGGGCTCTGAACTACAGGTAATGAATGACCCCTCAAATATCTGGCCTGCCTCTTTCCCCAGCCTACTCCCTCCTCTCCCAACTTTTGCTTCTGCACGCTGCCCATTAAGCAGTCCAGTTCTCCCCCCAGTTCCTTCTCTGGGCATCTGACCCCATCTTCCATCCATGCCCATTCCACAATTCTGGCCTCTCACCATCGCTGACTGCCATAGATGAGTGACATCAGAGGTGCTCTGAATTTGTTGCTTACCCCTGCATGTTTTAAGAACAATGGAAAAGATTGTATTTGTTGCTGTTATGAAGTGTGAACTGTAAATATGAACTGCAAGGGGCAGTATGAAAACCACCTTTTTTATTCAGAATCTGTATTATTAGTAGTGACTCTATTATTAGGGGAGGCTTTACATTTCTTCCAGAAATCATGGTGTCCTTAGGCAATTTTGGCCCCTTGGTAAATGAGGTCAGGATCCAAAGGGCTAGATGTGGTGGACTGTGTGTTTGCTTGGGCTTTGCAGGACTTTCTCTTCCCTTTAACAGTCCATTGTGTCTTCCATCTTCTGAGATGCTACTCCTAGAGATTTGGAGGCTCTCCAAAGAATGTACAATGTGGCATGGAGGCAACAGCTGGGAGCGGGGTGAGGAGTTGGTGAACCTCTCCATGTCAATGTACAAAAGCACATGAGGCTCTTTGGATCCTGGCACATTTGAAACATTAAACAAAGAAAGTGCTAGGCAGCTTGGTTTCCAAAATGAGGAAGAGTAAATCCGTTTTTAGTGCAGGTTTTCACATATAATTTGTAGAAATTAGGCTCAATCCCAGATCCTTTCCAGGTGCTATATATAAAAACCCCAACAAACTTTTCATTAGTGCAGCATTTGCACTGGCTCAAACATCAGGAATGTAATGATTCCATTTCCCAAGCAACAAATGGAGAAGTGAGGAATACAAGCTAAAATGTGTTCTGTGAGGGTTTGGCCAAGGAGAGAGTCGAAGAAGTGTCCTGCTGGATCAGACCAAAGGTTCATGTATTCCATAATTTTGTTCTTGCATTGGACAACCAGGTGCCTATGGGAAGCACTCAAGCAGGATCTGCTTGCAGTTCCCTTCAGCTAGTATACAGGAGCATACTGCCTCAGAAAGTCATGGGGAATACAGTCATACCTTGGAGGTCGAATAGCTTAGTTCCTGAACATTTTGACTCCCGAATGTCGCAAACCCAGAAGTGACTGTTCTAGTTTGCAAACTATTTTTGGAAGCTGAACATCTGATGGGGCTTCCGCGTCTTCCCATTGGCTGAAGGAACTTCCTGCAGCCAATTGGAAGCCACACTTTGGCTTCTGAAGGTTTTGGAAGTCAAACGGACTTCCGGAAAGGATTCCGTTCGACTTCCAAGCTAGTAGCCATGACAAATGTATCCTCCATGAATTTGTTTAATTCTTTTTTAAAGCCATTAAAGTTGGTGACCATCACTGCCTCTTGTGGGAGTGAATTCCAGAGTTTAACTATTCACTGTTTGAAAAAAAATATTTTGTCCTCCCTGAATCTTCCAACATTCAGCTTTATTGGGTTCTAGTGTCCCAGTCCACTCCCTATCCACTTTCTCCACACAATGCGTAATCTGAAAATGTGCCGCCACATCTGAACATATCTCTCTGTACTCACCTTCTTTCTAAACTAAATAGCTCCAAATGTAACCTTTCCACATAGGTGAGTTGCTCTATCCCTTTTATCATTTCGACTGCCCTTTTCTGAACCTTTTCCAGCTTTACAGTATCTTATTTGGCAATCAGAATTGTACAAAGTATTCCAAGTGCACAATGGATTTATATAACATGGAATTCAACTTCTTCACAGTGGAGGTTTTCCCATATCTTGATGTTCTGTGTTTTCCCTGTCACCACTTTACATCCTTGGCTGTTGCTAGCAAGAGAGTGAGGATCTGCAGAGCGTGATGGTGTTATAACTTGGATAAGGTCATCTAAGCAGTACAAAGTGGCAGACAGAAGTTAAGACTCACTTGCTGTTTTGTTTTTGTTTTGCAGCAGTCTGCTGCATCAGATTACTTTGGGCTCCAGGTCTGGGGGCTTCCAATTGCATCTATTTAATTTCAGCTTGATCCTATAGAAAAGATGGTGATCTGTAAAGAAAAAGTTAACATTTCTAAATAGGTTTGCAGGATCTGGATTACTTGTAAGTATCTCATGTGATTTCTGTTTACTAGGCTGTTCCAGAAGGAAAGAATGATATTTTGGAGACTAGCATTAGCGAAAACGAAGATTCCAATGTTGACAAGTTCAACATTAGCACTTGTAAAGCACTAATTCAAACCAAGGTGAGAATAGAAAATAATCCTATTACTCTTATTTGTTTGTATAGTCTGTTTTGTGTACTGCAAATAAGTATCTGTAATCTTCAATGTTTCTCTTAATCCTCCTTGCAATTGGCACAAGTTCCATGCAATCAGTCACCCGCCTGTTGGTGTTTCGCTTGCCTATATTATGGTCCAAGAGATTTCCTTAGTTCAGGGCTACACATATTTCAGTTATCCCATTCATATTCCATCCTTCTAAAGAGCCCTGTCCAGTGTATGCAGGTTGCCCTTTGTATCTTTGCAAAGCTGTATAGGATAGGTTGAGGTGACTGACATTTCCAAAGCTATCTGGGAAACTTTATAGACTTAATGGTAATTGGAATCCACATGTGCTCATTCCAAGCCCAACACAATTCATGCTGTGCCACACTGACTGTAGTTATCCTTACTTGTTGGAATAACACATACCAAATTGCAGTGCGGTGATGCACCAAACCTAGTAGAAAGTCTAGCAAAATGCCAGGTGGAATAAATAAGTAGAGCTGCAACTGGTATGATAGAGGTCATTTTAAGAAACTTTCCAGCCCACTGTCATCTTCCCAACTGTCCTGTTCACTTACAGCTCATGATTAGTAATATATCTTCCTGTGTCCATATACCGTGACTTTCTAATGCAACCTGCTTAGCTTTGTCTCTCAACTCTGTCTGGTTTTGCAAATTTCTGGGGATGTTCCTATATACTATATACTAACAAAACTCATTATCAGTGTGTGTAGCCAAAATTCCACCAACCATTCACATGAGGGGAGGTGTTAGTAAGCTCCAAGGAACAATTTTTGAGAAGTGGGGGAATGGCCCAGTGAGGACTGAGCATTTTGATTGGCCCTGGGATGCTGACTCACCATTGGAAGCAGGGAGGGATGAAATTGTGTATCCTGCAAGAAGGCATGGCTGGCTAGAACCCTGAATCAGAGCATGCCATGCTGCATTATCTTGTTACTTGCTTTAATCTAGGTGCAATGCACAGTTATCATGTTGTCTTAGGAGTGAGATGGTCTGAGCTTCAGAACATTCAGTTTTAAGTAATCAAATAGCAGAAGACAGGGATAGTTGTACAAGTGCAACCTGACAAGATCTGTGAACTTGGCTAGGCAATTTGAGCTACCCTTTATCAGAACTACGATGTTGTGGCTTGCTGGCCTCAGAAATGGTCCTTTGCCAACTAAGGAGGAACAATTGCTAATTTAAAAGGCATTGACAAACACCTTGGAAAAAGGGAAAGAACTGTCAGATACCAACAGTATATAGTGAAACAGCATGAAGGGAACAGGTGCCATAAAAGCTATGGATTGAGTAATTGTGCCAAACCGGTCTTTCAAGCCGCTGGTGATTCAGAGGTTTGGGTTGTACATTACTGGAAAAAGATGTCACAAAGGTAGCAGTGTCAGGGCTCTTTATGACATGAGATTGAAGGAACATTGGTTGACATGAAGGAAGGCAAAATGGCATTAAAGAACAAATGTAAGGCAAAGACACTGTAAAAAACTCCGTTCTAGTTATATTTTGTGGAGGAGTTCTTCTTTTTCTTTTTCTTGAATGGTGGGTCTTGTAGCCTATTTTTCTGGTGTGTAGATGCTGCTTTGGAGGAAATCTCAAAACGCTCCCTGTTCCAATTCATATGAAACCAATACACGGGGCAGTGTCCACACCATACTACAAATATTAATATTCTGCACCCTGAAACTTTAAATTCTATGATCTGTACAATTATTCTATGTATTCCTCCTTGTTGTTTTTGCTAGGCATAGGAAGACCTGCAAGGCACTGAGAAATCAAACATTCCATAAATCTTGTTTACTTGTCCCTAGGCCCTGTCTATACACTTGCAAGCATCTTCATGCCCATATGGATTAGCAGCTTTTAAAATTAAAAAAAAAAGGGGGGGAGAAAGCTTAAATCTTCAGGAGGATGAATTCTGTACCCAGTACCACATTTTGTGGGTTCTCAGCACTCCCATGAAATTATGGCAAGCCCATAGCCCATAACCAGGTCTCAAATATTTTGCTGCCAGCTTCCCTCAGAACCTGGAAGTGGCAGAGGCAAGGATCACCCCAGCAGTGGTGCAGTAGTCCCTACCACAGTCCTAGCTCTGAAGTTGGGAAGAAAGTTGCGGTTTGTTTCTAAGTTGCCAGGAGAGTGTTGGTCACAGAGGGCCAAGCCACCAAAAATATAAAACAAACGCTTGCCAACCCTTCCTGCTCTAGGACAGAAAAGGTGGGGCAGACTGGCCACCACTCCTGGAAGGTGCAGAAACACAGACCTTTGAACAGCCACTCTTTCTGTTGGTGCTTCTTCATGAAAGGACTTGGGTATTGCATGTCACTGCTGCAAGGTGTTCAGAGCATCTTCTGCAGTGACACCTACCCGTAAGCTGGCACACTCCCCACTGGCCCTTCCCTTGCAAAAGGGCAGAGCAAGATTATTGGGCACCACTCTGCAAAGGCTCCACCCAAATTTGCATGCTTGCAGGAGTGATATGCTTGTCAGGAGAGATGAGGTGGGTGGGAGAGATGAGAACTATGATGTTTGGCTTGGCCAGCCAGAAATTGTCATCCCTTGCCTCCAACCACAAGGCAAAAACAGTGGGGAGATGAGAAAGGTGTCACTTGGGAAATGTTTCAGATTCCAAATCTGAAGCTCCTATCCTTCTACAGTTCTGAAGAATCCAGTCTGTTGAATGTTTGTGTGTGCACTGCTAGTATTTTCCCTTTCCTTTGTATAAGAGATGTTGCTTATGGACTATGAAGCTGGCTTGTCCTGTTTTCTGGGAAATTTTAGGATACCACTATTGCTAGCCAGCTACTTCTTGTATTCTTGAGGCTGCCATTGTAGAAATTGTGAAAGACAAAATAAGCGAAATGCCATCTGCTTGATATACATAAGCCTGAATTAGCTCCAAAACCTTGCCATACACCCCAGTTTGCACCCCCATGTCATGTGTGAATGGCCCTCGCATTACTTTTTTCCTTTGTTTTTTGGCACAGCTTTCTGTATCTCCTGCTCCAAAACAGAGCCATCTCTTTTCCTATAACCTTTTCTTGAAGAAGACCCCATCTGGTGGAACTATGCAATATATCACAGTTCCACAGAAGAAGAGGATTTTTACTACACGAAGCCTAAAGATGAAAATGTTCAGCAGCAATGTTTGCTAATAACCAACATATTTCTGTTGTTTTGATCATTTTTTTTAGAAAAAGCTTATATTGTATTATTAATTTAAAATGAAGAGCTTTGGGAGGAAGAAAATAAAACCTTAAGCTGTGTATTTAATTTCAGTCTACCATCAGGGATGTGAGTAAATGAACTTGAACTAGGTTGGTCCATTCCAACTTTACAATTCTATGATTTTATATCCCTTTGCCAGGAACTGCAGGCAAATCATATTACATTTTATGGTAAACTAGCTAGAATTGAGCTGTTATAAACAAAGGATGGGTTGTGCTCTGCTAACTCAATCCTGCCATTATCTTTTAAGCATTAATGACATTTGTCAAACTTTTTAAACTATGCCCCCAAATTAAAATGTGTGTTGTTTGTGTGCCTTTTAACCTTTGTTTCTCCAGCTCACTATTTCTGTGCTTAATTCAAGACTGTACAGGTTGTCCTAACTTCTCTCTTATTTATCCCTACTTGCAGTCCTGTGCCTCCGCTAGTATAACTGGTTTATGAATTGCCTTTTGGGGGAGATGGGCAAACTTGAGTATCAGCCACACTTCTCTATATTGCTTGGTTTGCATATGAACCATCCTGTTGTGCAACTCATCAGAAGACTGTTGAACAACTGTCCTTCCCTCTTGACCCTTCTCCTTTAGTATTAGAGATAAATACATCATTGAACGTCTATGCCAAGACAGGATACTTCTGCATGATACGAATGAACCAAAATGGGAGTCCTGAATATATTTGTTGAATGGGCCTCGAATAATAGCACTGCACCAATAACCTTTAAGGGCCTTTCAACTCCTTAAATGTTATGGCCTCTGCTAGAATTCTGCAATGTATCTTAAAAGGAGCATACACTAAAGCAGTGACTTTCAGGCTTTGATTAGTCACTCCCAACACAGTCTAGTTGGGAGTGTTTCAGAGACTGCACTCACTCCATGTGAGTTGCATAGCTGCCCTTTTTTGAGCTGAACAACTTAGAGCATATTTGGTGTGGAATTCAATTATTACACAGGTGGAACTTCCATCACCTTCCTATACTCCCACCTGTATTCCCTATACACCCCCAAAATTTGCTCTGGGTGGGGGCACCTCTCCAGAGCAGATGTTAAGGAGAAGATAGATATGGGGCCCTGCTATGGGAGCGGAAATCGTTTTGTGTGCACATCAACAGCATGATTGCATACAACCCTCAAAGTCTCCTTCACTTGCACATTGCAGAAGTAGTATGGCTTTAACGTCAAAGGGAAAAGTTTGTCTTCTGGTTTGGTATACACTGATACCTTGGGTTAAGAACTTAATTTGTTCCGGAGGTCCACTCTTAACCTGAAACTGTTCTTAACCTGAGGTACCACTTTAGCTAATGGGGCCACCACGCTGCCAGCGCACGATTTGCATTCTCATCCTGAGGTAAAGTTCTCAACCTGAGGTACTACCGGGTTAGCGGAGTTTGTAACCTGAAGAGCCTGTAACCCGAGGTACCACTGTACCTCTCTGAGAAACCCCCAATGGTTTGAACAGTGCTGCACTAGAACAAAGGAGTCCAGGAACTAGGAAATACTTCTCAAACTTCAAGAAACAGCCCTCTTTTAACCTAAATTAGATATTTTATGCCCCCACCTTGATATTACTTGTAACATTCCCCTCACTTAGCTGCACTGTGTCACTCCATGCTTTATAATTTACATCCTAGCAGTATCAGTCCCACATTAGGTCACTTCTTCCAGCACTGCCACTTTGGGAAGCATTGCACTTGAGAGTCTGTCTCTGACTAAAAGGCAGGGTGGGGAGCAGAGAGAGCGAGAGCAATTGCTCACCTTGCTTCTGTCCCATGCAATTATGATACACTTTTAACATTGTCACGGAAAGAGAAAGTTTGCTTCCTTCTATTTTATACTGAGTGTATTTTAAATTCTGAAACTGTTTTACAACCATGAAATGTTAGAAGGCCTTATTGTCATATCCACTGACGTTCATTATGGGTGCTGGTCCTGAATTTTCTCTTGAAGGGTCAGGGCAAGTGATGACGGGTAAGGCTCTATCCCAGCACTGCAGTCAATGCCGGTATGAACATAGCATAATCTACATGTAAGTGTAGCTTATAGAAAATTTTATGGGTTGTGTTCTCAGTTCTGGAATAAAACTCAGTGGGCACTATTGTCGGTTTAGGAGAAACTTTTTTGTGTATGTGTCCTTATTACTTTAATAGCAATAGGTCAAATTCAGTGTCCAGTTGCCTTTGTTTAAAGCTGCTTAACAATGAGTGGAGCAGAACATGTGCACCCAGTTAGCATGGCATGAGGGCCCGTAACATGACAAAGCTTAAAGTTGGAAAAATTACGCCTCTTACAGGCCAGTCGATAAAGAACAAATCTGCACTGATACGTTTTGTAACTCTGCCTTTAATAAACTATTCACAATATAGAGGTTTTGCTGTTAAATGTTTTCTTCTAACGCTGCCCTACAAGCTATTCACTCAGATGTTTGGGTGGAATTTTAGAGTACTTCAGAAACTGCCTTATGCCAGGTTAGACATACCTAACTAGCTTTCCCTGTCTATACAAGTTTGTTAGCGGCTCTCAAGAGACCCCAGAGCCTTTCCCATCACCTGCTATGTGAACCTGGAACTGACTGACCTGCGACTCTATTATGCAATAAACGGCCCCATTCCAATTGTCTTTGTTGAGTAGGCGTTTATGACCCAGTAGTCTCCCTCAGATTCTAGGAGTTAGGAGTTGGTCCTATAGCAGTTGGGAGGGAAGTATCCTGATGAGGCCAGCTGCATGGGATTGAAGCCTCATCCAGGCATAGACATTTATCACAAATACAACACTTTTCCCCTAAGCCAGACCTCTTACCCACATGGATTTACACCACCCTGGAGTTGTTTTGCTTGGCTGGGATGTATCCTTGAACAATGCTTCTTCCTTGCCTGGATAGAGGATAGGGAGGGAAGTGTCAGTGTGAAAGAACCAGCCTAATGTAAAAAAAAAAGGGGGGGGTGTAAAATGCACATTTACAGCTCTGCATACTTTTGCCTTTAGCCATGGCCATTAGTGGGCTTACAAATACCTCTTTCCCTTCCCTCCCCCAATATACAGGGTCACTTTGAGAAAGCATTGGAGGGTTTCTGCCCATGCTTCTGAATGCTACAGGGTCCCATCCTGTCCACATGAGGAATTGTATTTGTATACCACCCATTACCTTAGTCCATCAGTTAAAATATTTTATAAGAAGCTGCTGGGTGAGGCTATCAAAGTGTTTGTAGTAACATGGCAGCATGAGGCTGTTCAGACCAGTGCCTGGTTTTGCAAAGTGGGCTGGATGTAAGCTAGTAAGCTGAAGCATCTGACAACATGGCGGTGGTTCTCATGTCCAGCAATTGGGTGTACAAGATGGGTTGCACTCCCCTTGAAAGACTATAAATTTAGCTTAGTGACGAGGTCTTGGAATGAGCATTGTCACTGGAAGCCCAGCTTCAGACAAATTACCTGGTGAACTGCAGCTCTCCCTGTGTCTTGAGATCACCCATAAAAGTACAGCTGGCACCATTGCTCCCATCAGTTGAACACCTGCTCATAAATATTTGCTAATGTATTTTAAAGTCAGTTATTATTTAGTCTGCTTTTTTCTTTTTGGTTTTATCAGTCTTTCATCAATTTACGACACACATATACACACAACTACCTAATCTTTCTTGTATATTTCCCTGATATTTCATAGATGAAGGTGCAGTTTAAAAATACTGAAAATGAATGATTGTACATCAAAGACAAATAAGAACTACCTTAAGCCTGGGCCGCAATCAGGTTTTCAGGCAAGCTTCTGCACATCTTTTCCTCCCTTGCAATTCTTTCCTGTTCATTGCTTATTCTGTACCTTTCCTCCAACCACCTCACTTCTGGGCTCAGAGTTTCCCTGCCTCCTTTCCTCAGCCACACAAAAATACTCTGTTTTAAGGGCCAATGTGAGGTTCTAATCCCAGCCAGACAACTAACCCGTGTCTCAAAGAACTATAAACATCCTTACGGGTTGTGAGCCAAGCATATGGAATGTTCATAAAAATTCCATGCCAACACAGCAACTTGGCCCTCTGGGACCCACAGAGAACCAGCAGAGTCAATACTTATCTACCCACCTGGCATTTCTGTGCTCCAAACTGCTGCCCAGCTAACTGCTTTCTCTGTGAAGTTTGTGATGTGTTTAACGCACCTCTAAAACCTTCTCTGGAAAAGTGGCTGGAGGTAACTGGAGCAGATAAAAGGTAGTGGTCCTCTCCTCAGTGCCATGTTTCTTTACGAAACAGCGGTTTCTTCACACATCTGTAACATGTAGTTAGACCCACAAAATGTGCTGCTCACATTGCAAGTCAGTATCTCTTGGTTAGGAATGGGACCTCTCATGCCCAAGTCAGGTCATTTGCCCTACCGGCATTATGTATCAGTAGAAAACTAAGGGCAAACAGGAATACAGGAATACAGTACACACAAATATTTAAATTAGCCAAGAATTACTTCCGTAGATGAGAACTTAGAATGAAATATTTATTATCACAGAAATTTTAAAAAATATTCTTTTAACCACAATTCTGCTTCATCACAGTGCAGAAGGCCCTTACCATTTTCAAGATTCATATTTATACATACAAAGAAGCATTTCTGCACAATCTGTGTACATTCTTTATACCCAAATCCCTTTACATCAAAGATGGACAGCATTTTGCCGAAGGTTCTGCTGCTGTGGTATAGATCTATTTGCATGGGTTGTGCATGTAAACACACTTTGCTTGCCAAGCTGTGCACTAGGGCAACAAAACAGGATTCATTCTGCATTAGTTGCAGGATCTGGTTCCATGATTAGTAAAGTCAGGACTAAATAAATAGCCCAATATTTGGAACCCAAGATAGAGTATTTAAATTATTTTCAGATTAAACAAGGTTCTGTTTCCATTATTAAAAAATCTGAAGCTTGATGGATTCCTCATGAACAATAAAATGAAAGAGTTAAAATAAATAGTTAGAAAACAAGGTTGACAATAGCAATATTACTGATAGACACACATCTGGATAATTTTCTCCACATCACCTGTGGAACTACCTCATGCATTTATCCTAGGGACATACCGTGATGCTGGTTGTTCCATAACTAACAACCACGTTCTTGCCCCAGTCTGGAGCCTTTCATCCCCAAAATGCATCACTGTTGAGCCAGTATGCTCTCAGAACAAACCTTCCTCCATTGTCGTATCAATACTGGGGTTAGGAGAACATCAATGGGAGTTGGGTGGGAAGGGGAGAAGCAATGATTCCAGCAAGTCAAGTGTGGTTAGAACAACAGGGCAAGGAACTGATGTTGGCTGGTGCTGCTTTGGCCTGCTTTTCCCTGTGGTGCTTGGGCACCTCCTACTGGAACCAAGTGGCAGCTCAGCTCCAACCAGTGCTAGAGGGCTGCCAGCCTCCGTTTCCCAAAAATGTAATAGGAATTACTTATTACATTTGAGAGCTATTGGGGGGGGCGTGTCTTCCAATTCTAATACAATCTGCTCTGCCTTTAGAAATGTGTCTGGAAGCTACGACAAACAGGATGGCCGGTTTTGGCTTTTGATACTTTGACGCCATCTGTTCTTAGATAGGTATGATGAATGGGTGGAGTGGGCAGAAACTGAGGTGGGTACAGATATCTGATGAATTTCCATAATCAATCAACAACACTACTGCAGGAAAGGCCTGCTCAGTGGCACCAAAGAAAAGCTGGAAGAGGCTTTAGTCCTGGTGGGCATTGCTGGGGTGCATGCGTCCTGACACATTCATGCATACTGGATGCTGATGGCAGGCCTATGTTACAATATGACAAAATATGCTTCTGCAATTTGTAGGGATCACTGCTGTGCAAATTCCTAAACTTCTGATAGGGCGATCCTAAGATTTGCACAGTGCAGACTATTAGCATTTTTCATGCAAAAAAAAAAAAGTAAAAACCATCATGAAAGGCATACAATCTATGATTAGCATTTTGAACAAAGCAACACTTCTCCTCCCACAAAAAGGAATCTTGCTAGGCCACAGCTGTGCTCTTAGACATGTCCCGCCCCACTCCTACAGGACAAAGTTGCCAGGACATAGAGTGCACACAGTACACTTCAGACACCTCTAGTATCTTGAATTGGTGCCTGCCATTTGGATTTGATGCACTTCTTTAAGAATACAAGGTGTGCAAAAATGTTCTGCTTAAGTGATGTATATTGCACATAAAATCTAGAAATCGTGTTGCAGAGATACAATATTCTCCAAAGAGTTAAAATAGTTCTACCTGTACAGTAAATACTAAATTTTAAAAAACCCATATTACTCCCAAATTGAAGCACATAATACTGACAAAGTTTAAAATCGGATAATCTACATATAAATTACATTTGTAAATGTGTATAATTAAATACCATAAAATTTCAGAAGCCAGCTATGACGCTGAGAAGTTTCTTGTTTATACCGCCACAAACACTATCCAAGAAAACAAAAAATCTGCAGTTTTAGACAAAGCACTGGAAAGAGTTACAGCATTGCTGCTTAGAGAGGTAGTGCCAGCTCCGTCCAACCAGATCAGTGCTTTGCCGTGCCTCTTTTTTATCTCTAAACTATGATGGAGCAATGTAGTAAAATGTAAAAAGACTATAAAATTTTACAAAAATAAATAGTTTCAAATGCTTTACAAAATGCAAGGCATTTTGCTGCCAGGCATCTTGAAGCTCCTTCAACAAAAGGGAAGAGGCCTGTAGTCCTTTAAATACTTTAAAAATATATTTGTATTTACTGAGGTTGCAAATCCAAGTATGCAACTCCAGTGAATGTCAACAAACGTCTCATTTTATATTAAAAATAGAATCATTAGACTTTAGAAGATGTTTCCCCTTATGGAAATTACTGTTATGCAAATTTTTCGGACAGATTAAAAATTGCACATTTAAAAAAGTGAGATTTGTGGGACTAGGAAAAGGTGCAAGAGACATATTCCTTGCATTTACCCTAGGATAAAAAAATTGCACAATTGGTTTAATAAATACTCCATTTTATATAACAGCTTGCCACTTTTTTTGGTTTATATATAAGTTTTGGAGAGGTTTTGAGAACCACTTAAGGACAATGTCTAACTACCATTCCAACGTAACACTTTGCAGTTCAATCCCTCTCTCTGTGTGGCTTTTTCTTCAAACCAGCATAGGGTGGTAGCACAGGAAAAAGTATCTTTGGATTTTAAAAAAGTATCAAGACCCTACAAGAATCTCCATGATATGGTCCAAATCACTGAGATCACTTCTACATATTGGGATGTTGCTTGCTGAGGAGGAATTGCAAGAAGAGAAGGTTTTCAATATCTCTTCTGTGGGTGCCACAGACGATGCTCTTGGAGGAGTTAGTGAGGGGCAGTCA